CGACAATGTATTGGGTGATAGCGATAACCACCTCTGACAACGCCCAAACGTCCCGCGGCACCTCTGACATGTGCGCGGCGTGTCAGAGTACGGACGGGCAGCTTGGGCATTACACGTATCCTTATCCGGGCAGCTATTAGGGCAGGTATCTCACCCCTATAAAAAGGGGATGAGCCTTTCTTCCTTAACACGTTCTATTCATTCTCTAAATTCCAGTATACTCATACAGATACTGACTTAAGCATCGGAGGCTCTTCACCGGATCCCACCCCCGGTGTGAGAGTTATTTGCAGGTTCTCGGCGTTCTACCGGCAAGGACAAGAATCGATCTACTCCAAACCGGACCCGGACGCTTACAGAGTATGAGTTGAAATAATTTATAACCAAACACGCGTTAATATTTGTTGTAAACTTGAAATCTCATGATATTCATTATAACAGACAACAATTTGATTTTATGTGATTCATGTTGATAATATTTCGTGTCAAGATAAACATAAAACCACGTTTTAAGTTCTAACCATATTATTATTTTTTTCTTAAATATTAACGTTTTATCCTAAGAGGTTTTATGGAAAATTGTAACACTTTAGGTAAAATTCTCTCTTCCAATTAATCGGTCGAAATCAAGTACATGGATTATGCTTTGTCAACGTATTACTTTCGTAAATTATAATATTTTTAACACTCTATCATGAAAAAAGCTACTGAAAATCAGAAGTACACGTACAAATTCACTTCGAAGCTCACTAATCATTGTGAAGCTTGGCTGATCTGAGGATTTCTTCACTGTTACAACGCAAGTGAACTTCCTGAAACCCGAAAGAGAAAGAGAAGCGCATTTGGATTGTTTCATGGGCCTTTTGGGCTCTTTATGCCTTATGGATACTCTTTTGGGCCATTATTAAGGCCTTGTAATCTTATCCCAGTCGCATTTGGGCATAATAGGTAGAATGTATATATAATTATGATCTTGTTATTGTTTCTTTTTTCCTAAACGATAGAATTTATAAATATTCACAAAACAGACGAACTAGATCACGGCCACACAAACCGGCTACAACAGCCATACGATCGAAGAAAGCCGTCATCCAGCTGAATTAGCATGTAGAAATACATCAATGGTAACCAAGAACATATCTAAACAACACAAACACAAAAAGCTCTCAAAATAAGTCAAACAACCAAAAGCTCTCACAAGTACAAAATACACATAACCCACTCCTAACCGGATAGAAGGTGTTAGAATATCACTTGTGAGTTGTCCCACATCGTTCATATATGGAAAATAGACCCACCTTATAAGTCTGATGGGCTACTCCTCCTTCCACTAATTGGTTTTGGGATGGAACCCACTTGGGCTTCATATGGGCTTTTCCCTCTCATGGTGCGCTTCATGTTAGTGGGACCACACCGTTTTCCCCCAGTTTCTTACATGGTATCAGTGCTCGGTTCTATTGGGACCGTGCGATGACGTACCCGTTTATGGGAGTCTACTAGAAAGTCTGCTTCTAGTAGGCTTGGGGCGCCCGGTTGGGCTTGGGCTTCCGAAGGACTCACAAGTGAGGGGGTGTGTTAGAATATCACTTGTGAGTTGTCCCACATCGTTCATATATGGAAAATAGACCCACCTTATAAGTCTGATGGGCTACTCCTCCTTCCACCAATTGGTTTTGGGATGGAACCCCACTTGGGCTTCATATGGGCTTTTCCCTCTCATGGTGCGCTTCATGTTAGTGGAACCACACCGTTTTCCCCCAGTTTCTTACAGAAGGAAGACAAAACACAAACAAAAATACCTAAAACACAAGGAAAACAACTACACAACCATTCCCGCAACAATTAACCACATGAAGCAAAACAACGGTGAAGCCAACGGACATTCACCAACATGGATAGAGTCACGGCCAGAGTCAGAATCAGAAACTGCAAAACAACGCTAACTGGATCAAACACCAACGGACCCAACCAACGTCCAAACGAACAATTAAAAACCCGCGCCCGGAGGCCCACACCACAAACCACCCAACCCAACACCGACGACTTAGGCCCAAACCCCATAAACTATGCCCTTGGCCTTAACTCATCAGCGTCCTCTCTGACCAACACCATAAATAGGAGGGACACGACGGAGAATGACGGAACCCGCCACCTCGATACCCACAAAAGGAGAATCGAAGCCGCGACCCACCCTAGGGAAATGCCATAGGCACCAAAAAGTTGGTCGCTCTCCTCTCCTTCAAGTGACATGAAACCCACGGAAAACTATTAAGGGATTTGAGCACTCTTTTCAGCCAGTGAAACATAATATCCAGGCGACGATTCTCAGATAATCGGGCAGCGTGACTTAAGGACACCACCTCCAAAAAGCCTCAAGCAGTCTCGTTGGGTTGGCGCCGAAATGGAAGAAACGAAAGACAAAGATTAGCGTTTTTATCCAAAGAGGGGCGAGAGATGAGCGTCTTGCCTAAACACTCTTCTAACTAATAATCTTGTTTGAATATCCATGTCCTTGTATTTTGAAAAGCCATGTCCCACACATTTTTTAACTTTCACCCTAAAATCTCTCGCACAGTCGTTCTGTAATGATCATGTTGTAAAATAAATGTTCTCTAGATTTATTTCATTTAACTAAGCTAAATTGCAAACTACCAAGTCCTAACCTTTGTTTTACTTATAATTTATTTATTAACTTTCACAATAAAAAGGCAAGAGTTTTCAATTTTGTCATTTATTTTCAATTCTTTTATGAATCGTTCTTCCTCTTTTCATATATTAGAAGATTAGATAACGAGCCACAAACATAAAGCTTTTAATAATCGGTTTTGGACCGTGTGCTTAATGCTTCAATTCACAAAAATCAAAAGTTTTTTTAGTATATGTTGTAAAAATTGGTACGATTAAATTACAAACAAAAAAACAACTTTTCATTGGGGTCAGTTGAAAAAACATATAAAATGGGAGCCGAAACGCGAACAAGGAGAAAAATCAAGGACTAAATCGCAAATACTAGATGCATCTATAAAAGCGTTCCATTTTCTGTTCCCGGCTTACAACCTAGGGTTTCTACTCGGCCACTACGCAGTAAGTCTCACCTCAGCTAATACCCGCCGCCGCCGCCGCCGCCGCCTCTCTCCGCCGGGCACCGGAAAGCCGCCACCATGGGTCGTATGCACAGCCGAGGGTCTGCCATCTTTCTATTTGTGTGTAATTTTTATCTTTTTAATTATTATTTCTGAAAAATGTGTTTTTTTTGGGGGGGAATTGCAGTAAGGGTATTTCAGCATCAGCACTTCCTTACAAGAGGACTCCACCAAGCTGGCTCAAGATCTCTTCTCAGGACGTATGTGATTGCGTTTTTCAATTTTTGGAATTTTTTTTTTTAATTTTTTACCCATCTTTTCAAATGCTTGGTTTCTGTAATCAATGGAGGTTCTTAGGTTATTATTATTATTATTATTATTATTATTATTATTATTATTATTATTATTATTATTATTATTATATATAAATTTCTTTTATGTGTTGCTTCAGCTCCGGTTTGATTGCCTATGACATAAATGATGAATCTTTTATCATAAATTCATACATGCAATGCTGCCTGTTTCATGTGGCTTCTGTATTTTTTTTGTTTTTTTTTATTGATTCATTCATCCTACAGTTACTAGTTTAAAATTTATAAATCCACAAGTTGTTGGTTCATATAATTGTCATCTTCTAAAATGAGCTCAGAAAATTGACAATGATTGTTTGATTCATGACTTTGTTTCATTACTCTGCATGGTGAAGTAATTATGGCTTAGATCGTAATTCCGTACCGTTGCTTTGTTTTCTGATTTTTCAATAATTTTCATATTTTCCACCGCTTTGCTAAAAAAAAATAAATTAATACGGTCTACCAATAATCTATTTGTGTTCAGGTTGAAGAGAACATTTGCAAGTTTGCCAAAAAGGGATTAACACCCTCTCAAATTGGTGTTATTCTTCGTGATTCTCATGGGATTGCTCAGGTGAAGAGTGTCACTGGCAGTAAGATTTTGAGGATTCTCAAGGCTCACGGTAAAGTGCCATCCACACCCAATGTGCTTT